TAGACGGTAAAATAAAAACCCCCGCACGCACAAACACTCCTCCCCACTCAGAGAGCAAGGACGTGCGTTGCATTTATCTGATTTTCTATTGGAGAGTCCCAAAATTATAAACCCTATAGGTGAATTATATTCATGTAAACATACACCTTATGATTAAGTGGTTTATATTGCATGATGTGGAAGGGGAGGGGTAATGTTCAAATGGGGCTAAACTCCCAGAAGAACGCAGCCTGGAAAGAAAAAAAACAAAGCCCAAAAGAGAAAACAAAACAGGAAATGTGTATAAAAAATGATGTCCATATAAGAAAGGCTACAAAAACTTCCACTGGCCCTCTGCCATCAGCATACAGCAAAAGGCACCACAATATTACTCAATTTTTGAAGTTTTGAAAAAATTGGCACGTCTTTTTATGCTGTAAATCAAAATGTACATATAAATAGAGTTTTCCCTATAAAAAAGTATTTGCTGTTAACTAGTAGACAACTTTTGCTAAAAATGAAAATAAATATTTCATTTGTTTAGAATATCTGTCAGTTATATAAAATAAAAATATTTTTTGTATAGGTGCAGGTTTATAGTATATTGATTTTTGTTGGTAGCTTGTCTTCTTTCTTTAATGGGGTACATTGTCCGGTTTGGACCGTGAGTGCGTCTGTCTGGTCTGTACAGTCCCGCGTGCACCGTGCCGCCCCGAAGAGTGCGACTGAGAAGTCCGAATGTTGGCCGGCCTGCAGATGGTGGAGGGCTCGGCGTTCATATTCTGCATACTAAGGAAGGGCGTGCTCTCGCCCTCCTCCTCCGACTCGCTGTCCGTCAGGCAGCTGCGAGAGCCGTAGTCCCGTGACGCCTCGTATCCTCGCGGCGCTACGTAGCCGTTCAGTCTGGACCTTCGCAAGCGCCGACCCCCACCCCGACCCCCACCACCACCGCTGCCTGTCCCACTTTTCTTTGGTTGTTCCAGGCAGGAGAGGTACTCCTGTGTGGTCTCGTAGTCTTCTTCCTCAGCCAGGCGGTAGGGACTAGAGGCCAGGCTGCCCGTGCTGTCGTTCAGGTAGGTGTGGCGCTGCTGCCGGTAAGGCTCCTGACGCTGGATGTCGTGCAGGGGCACCTGGTAGCGCCGCAGCAGAGGCTGGTCGTCCTCCAGGGGGTAGGGGGTGTGGGCGGCGGGTGGCAGGGACATGGCCTGGCTGGTGTTGGGGGAGGTGATCTGGAAGGTAGGCACCTGCGGGGGCAGCGAGTAATGGAAGTCCACCGGAGAGAGACGGGCCGGCGTTGTCAGGGCCGACACATAGCTGTAATGAGGGTGAAGGTAGGGTGGGGAGCGGGGAGGAGAAGGACAGGGAGAGGACCAGGCCAAACAGCAGTAGCCCAGTTAGATGTCATGTCTAACAGAGTGACGTGGGACAGGGACCCACCATCCACAAACAGCAGTAAGAGATGTTGTTGAGTCAGTGTGCAGAGGTTTGTCAGTTGTGTGTGGATGGTGTTTGTGACATCCTGTTTGCATTCAGTCAGTTTTCTACATATGTGTTATGTTACTGAATGTGTTTATTGGTTAATGTGACCTTTAGCCTTAGAGAGGGCTATATCTAGGGAAAACATCAGGGTGCGTGTTGTGTTGAGTTTTGAGGTGCTGTTTTATTTTTATATTGTACAATGTGTTGATATGTCCCATTTGACTAGTGTCCCTCTCCCCCAGTACAGTCCCTCTACCTTCATATGTTCTATGGCACTAGGGAAAAATACAGTACACGCTTTAGGAGAAAGCATCTGAAAGATCCAAAGGCAAATCTAAAATAAAGTTAATCACTGTTCCACTGTAATCCTGTTAAGTTTAGCACTGCGATGCTGCCTGGCACTACTGTTCAGTCAAATGTTCATTATAGCCTACTGTAGCCATCTATAGATGAGCTCACTCTCACTAACTCAAACACTCAAAAACTAAAATATTAAATCTGCAACATGTACCTTTTTGGGCGACCTTACCAAATTCACATAGAAATGTGATTATAGCAAATCTAAGAAGTGTTAAATCTGTTCTATGTACAGTGAGGGAAAAAAGTATTTGATCCCCTGCTGATTTTGTATGTTTTCCCACTGACTAAGAAATGATCAGTCTATAATTGTAATGGTAGGTTTATTTGAACAGTGAGAGACAGAATAATAACAAAATAATCCAGAAAAACACATGTCAAAAATGTTATAAATTGATTTGCATTTTAATGAGGGAAATAAGTATTTGACCCCTCTGCACAACATGACTTAGTACTTGGTGGCAAAACCCTTGTTGGCAATCACAGAGGTCAGACATTTCTTGTAGTTGGCTACCAGGTTTGCACACATATCAGGAGGGATTTTGTCACACTCCTCTTTGCAGATCTTCTCCAAGTCATTAAGGTTTCGAGCCTGACGTTTGGCAACTCGAACCTTCAGCTCCCTCCACAGATTTTCTATGGGATTAAGGTCTGGAGACTGGCTAGGCCACTCCAGGACCTTAATGTGCTTCTTCTTGAGCCACTCCTTTGTTGCCTTGGCCGTGTGTTTTGGGTCATTGTCATGCTGGAATACCCATCCACGACCCATTTTCAATGCCCTGGCTGAGGGAAGGAGGTTCTCACCCAAGATTTGACGTTACATGGCCCCGTCCATCGTCCCTTTGATGCGGTGAAGTTGTCCTGTCCCCTTAGCAGAAAAACACCCCCAAAGCATAATGTTTCCACCTCCATGTTTGACGGTGGTTATGGTGTTCTTGGGGTCATAGGCAGCATTCCTCCTCCTCCAAACAAGGCGAGTTGAGTTGATGCCAAAGATCTCCATTTTGGTCTCATCTGACCACAACACTTTCACCCAGTTCTCCTCTGAATCATTCAGATGTTCATTGGCGAACTTCAGACGGGCCTGTATATGTGCTTTCTTGAGCAGGGGGACCTTGCTGGCACTGCAGGATTTCAGTCCTTCACGGCGTAGTGTGTTACCAATTGTTTTCTTGGCGACTATGGTCCCAGCTGCCTTGAGATCATTGACAAGATCCTCCCATGTAGTTCTGGGCTGATTCCTCACCGTTCTCATGATCATTGCAACTCCACGAGGTGAGATCTTGCATGGAGCCCCAGGCCGAGGGAGATTGACAGTTATTTTGTGTTTCTTACATTTGCGAATAATCACACCAACTGTTGTCACCTTCTCACCAAGCTGCTTGGCGATGGTCTTGTAGCCCATTCCAGCCTTGTGTAGGTCTACAATCTTGTCCCTGACATCCTTGGAGAGCTCTTTGGTCTTGGCCATGGAGGAGAGTTTGGAATCTGATTGATTGATTGCTTCTGTGGACAGGTCTCTTTTCTACAGGTAACAAGCTGAGAAAAGAGTGTGCTCCTAATCTCAGCTCGTTACCTGTATAAAAGACACCTGGGAGCCAGAAATCTTTCTGATTGAGAGGGGGTGAAATACTTATTTCCCTCATTAAAATGCAAATCAATTTATAACATTTTTGACATGCGCTTTTCTGGACTTTTTTGTTGTTATTCTGTCTCTCACTGTTCAAATAAACCTACCATTAAAATTATAGACTGATCATTTCTTTGTCAGTGGGTAAACATACAAAATCAGCAGGGGATCAAATACTTTTTTCCCTCACTGTACGTAATTTCTATGCTTCCCGTTCTTAAGTTTTGTTTTTGCGTCTTTTACTTTCGGGTTTTGTAGACCAGCTTCAAACCGCTGAAAATACAATATTTTTGGTGAGGGAAAATATAATTCACAGCGGTTTAGATGGTACAATGATTCTTTACTCCACTATACTTGATTGTTTTGTCACATAAACGGAAATTAAGCAACCTATTAGAATTTTAGCAACCAGGAAATGGCCATTTCTGCATAGGGCATCTATAAATGAAAAAAATGTGTGGTCATTGGTTTCCAGCTAAAATGACTAAATAGAAGTTATGTACACTTCTCTAAACCTCCGGTGAAGATGAAGATGTGTCCCTACAATAATATCTGTGCTCAATCTTTCGGCATACAGCAACCCAGGGCGGAGATCACAGTAGAGTTGACGACCACAGCCCACACCAGAGACCTGCTAGCTCAGGGGTGGGCAACTCCAGTCCTCGGGGGCCTGATTGGTGTCACACTTTTGACCCATCCCTAGCAAACACAGCTGATTAAACTAATTGCATTCTAAACTGAAGATCATGATTAGGTGATTATTGGAGTCAGGTGTGTTAGCTGGGGCTGGGGCAAAACTGTGACACCAATCAGGCCCCCGAGGACTGGAGGTGCCCACCCCTGAGCTAGCTAGAGCTCCACCCCAGAGATCAGATCTGTTGTTCTACTCTCCATGTCTTAATGAAGTCCTTACGGTATCCAGCCTCCTGTTTAGCTACCATACAGATTTAGGGGAGTACAGTACAGTAAGCTTGACACAGCAGATTCTTCACTTGAGAAATACAGCTGGCTGTGGGCTCTCTCCTGCCGACCAGATTTTACCCTCAAAATACTTTTAACCTTAATACAGCAACTGGATATATAACTTAACTTGTATATACCTACCTTATCCTTCCTTTATCAGAACAGGACACAAGAATAGTAGCAATTTTTAGACCTGCCTGTCCTACAGCAGGCCTATCTCATCATGTCTGCCTATGGTAGAGAAGAATTTGCCATTGACTCTTTCAAAGTACCGTCGCTGGCCTCCAGGGGCTGATAGAGAGCCAGCTGTAAAACGAGGCCTCCTACGGTGGGCACTAGAATATGCCCCAGTGCCATAACCACAGAGAGAGGCCTGTTCCCTTCCCACCTGTCGCTGTGTGGAGAGTCCCCCAGCGAATCAAATGAGTCTCCGTAGTGCAGGCCCGGCCGGTGGGGCACAGTAGAGCCACAGTGTGCGGCACGCCTAGCCCTGGCCTCCATGCACGCAGGACTGTTGCACCTACTGGTCCCCACGGAGGACGACATCATGCCTGGTGAATCTGAGAGGACACTGTCAGTCCGCTCCAGGCTCCACGTCCGCTCCTCGTGTCTGAGACAAGAGAGGACCAAAACATAGGGTTCAACCAGGATATGGTCCATTGTGTATTTTCCTGTGTGTCAAAACATTTACCTGTGGTGTGTGCAGTGAGGGGGATGTTGAGGGGTTACCTGTGAGTGGATGAATGGGCATGGGTAGAGGAGTTGTGAGATCTGGAAGATGCATGGCTGCCGGGGAATGAGTCCTCTGGTCCATGCCCTATGACTCGCTCCGTTGCAGGCACATTCTTAGAGATGTACTAAAACACACAGAGGAAAGGGTTGGAGAGATGGTATGGAGGGGAATTATGTAATTGCCCGTCATCATGTTGAACTTTACGCACAATACTACCACAAAGACTGTTGCTAAATCTGTCCTGACAGATTTGAAACTCCACTGATTGACCATGTGTGTGTGTGTGTGTGTGTGTGTGTGTGTGTGTGTCTCTCTGTGTGTGTCTCTGTGTGTGTCTCTGTGTGTGTGTCTGTGTGTGTGTGTGTTCTGAAGGGAGAGGTTTAGTTACTGTTGGCAGTTAACCTGTGACATCGCTACCCTTCAAGAGAGTACTCATGCTCCACTATAGGAAAGTAAAATAATGTATCCTATGAAACTCAGACGAACATATCAATCAGAAAACAACCCATCCACCCTTCCATTCATTCATTAATCGACGACAGAAAAGTCAGTAAGGGAATCAATGTGTGTGTGACTCACATCTACCATGGGTATCTCCTCAGGGCCAGGTCCTGGGTGATTGGGTCCGTTCGCTAGGTTCCGGTTGGGGTGATCTGCACACATGTTCTGCTGCAGGTGATTGTGCATCTTCTTCCTCTGTCTCCTATGGAGGAGAATAGCCCCAGTCACTCTCATATAGCCCTGGAGCTGAGCCAACAGTCTATGCTAGCGTCTATTTAACACACAGGCCCTGGCTGGACCGATACTCTATGCTAGCGTCTATCTAACACACAGGCCCTGGCTGGACCGATACTCTATGCTAGCGTCTATCTAACACACAGGCCCTGGCTGGACCGATACTCTATGCTAGCGTCTATCTAACACACAGGCCCTGGCTGGACCTATACTGTCCTGGGCTGACTTACTTGGTTTTGCAGTAGGCCACCACACACACAATGCCAACCACCAGTAGAGCCACGCAGATACCCGTGATTGTCAGGACTCTTTTCTGGTAGAGCTCTTCCGCTTCTATGGACACACACACACACACACACGCGCGCGCACACACACACACACACACACACACACACACACACACACACAGAGAAAAGTAAAAAAAAAAAAAAAAAAACATCAGTCCCTTGAAGGAGCAAGTTTACATATCATCTAAATCCTTTCCACCATGTCTCTGATGCCCTAGTCCTCCTCCTGGCTCCCACAGCTTCTACACTCCTACACTAAGCAGATGCTGCTCTCACTCTTTACATGTATCAAAGTAGACATACTGTATGGCTGTGTTGAAGGCTCTGGACCTGAACTAGATTACAGTTAAACTCCAACCCTTCATCATAATGGCTGTTGAACAAAAGCCAGTTGACGCAAGTAAATATTCATAGTTATTACTGGAATCATTATTGTTTCAACATCCTTAATCAAACAAGATGCCTGGGGGAAAGCATTCGCTAGAAATGTGCTAGAAATTTCTAAATTTAGATGACTGGCATTAATTGGGAATTTGTACAGCATTCGCTAGAAATGTAGATTATTAAATTTGTTTTAATTACTGCAGCATTGTATGTTGCTCATTGTGAATGGCTGGGCTGGGTTTACTGTAACACATGTCACTGGTATGGATCACTGTTATAGAAGCGTCTATCTAAAATGGAGGTCCACACAAAACAGCTCGACACAGACGAGCTGTCCCAAATCTGCTACTCTGATTGTAGGAGTGCCTCATTCATCCACGGGGTCGCTTCTGACTGAAAGCCCATCAGATCAACATTCTGCTACACAGAGGCCTCTCATCCTCTCACTGTCAATTCTGCTAGACCATTTTACACAGAGGCACTCACACAAGCAGAACCGCAGTTAAGGGGTCCCTGCAGGCTTTAAATATGCTCTGCATTCAACGCCCTCAAATATAAAACAAATAAATCAAAAATAAATCAAATTTTTGAAACGATTGTTATTACATGTTACTTCTTTTTTTTTTTGGTGATCAACAAAACATTTACTAAAACATATTTTTAACCTCTTTGCTTTCCCATAAAAATGTTCCTGTGAGGAGGGGAGGATATGGCTTAACCAGGGGAGAGTGGAGGGAACGAGGGAGCAGGCCAGGGGGAAATAGGTAGTGGGCCTGTGATAAATAATGAAATAAAAATTAATTGCATTTGTACAGCTCCTCCCATCTGAGGTTGCCCTGCTCTCATCCACTCCCTCCATTTACCAGCAGCAGCAGAAGCAGCATGGGCTATTTTGCATCAGCCTATCGCTGCAACTCAGTTTTCTGACACTATAAATGAATCACCAAGGCTAGTATAAACAGCAATATTTATGCCATATCTAGCTATGAAGAATTTTCAACAGTGACGGGAAACGGCAATATATACATTCTCGGAGCCTCATACAAATTTACCTGAATGACTATCTTGTACAGTGAGGTCTCATAAGAAAACAGTAAACTACGGTATCACGGCACATTTCTTGGGAAAGGAGGTCCTTAAAGAACAGACTATTTCTTTATGCTCTAAATAAGGTATGACATGCACATACCACAGTCACTTAATAAAAAAGAGTCTAGTCACACAAAGCATTTTACTTTTACAGACAGTTTTTTAACCAAAGTAAAGTAATTGACGGGCACAGGCAGAACAGAGCAGGTCGACTTACAAACAAATATAGTGAGGTTTCAAATGAGAGGAGGATACAGGTTAGAGGTGAAGTGTTGAGGAGATGAGGAGAATGCAGTTAATATGAGCAGCATGGATGTTGGGGAAGGGACAGTCAACTGTAAACCAGGCATAGCATGCTAACAGGAGACAGAGCTAGAGGAGGGGAGAACACAAAGCTAATCTCGGAGGAATATCCTGCCTGATCCTGGTTGATAGAGAGGAAATGGGTGTCCTGTTTGCAGCACTCATCCTGAGCTCCTGTCTGTGTCTCAATGATGCGACAATGGATTCTGACGTTTGGCTAATACAAGTTGAAACGTGGTACAGCTCCTGCTTTTTAATAGGTGTATTATTAAAACATGTACCATCACTGTCAATTAAAAGTACAGTACAGGGACTACAGACCAGTGTGTGTGCATATATACGAGAGAGAGAGAGAGAGAGAGAGAGAGAGAGAGAGAGAGAGAGAGAGAGAGAGAGAGAGAGAGAGAGAGAGAGAGAGAGAGAGAGAGAGAGAGAGAGAGAGAGAGAGAGAGAGAGAGAGAGAGAGGTGTATGTTTATGTGTCTAAGGAGGGCTAAGAAGTGATACAACTCTTCCTGAGTAATGTAATCATATTCACACTAGTGTTAACAAAAACCCGGTGTGTGCTAACAGAATCACATGAAACGAAGTACTGTTTATTCTGAAGTAAACAGTAGAGCCATGGAGGCTCACGCAGATCACGTCATCAACCCCGGAGAGATTCCAGAGGGAGTCAGACTCTAGTAGGACACCACTACCTCCTGATGAGAGGATAGATGGAGGGGGAATCTACTACCTAAGGAGAGGATAGATGGAGGGGGAATCTACTACCTAAGGAGAGGATAGATGGAGGGGGAATCTACTACCTAAGGAGAGGATAGATGGAGGGGGAATCGACTACCTAAGGAGAGGATAGATGGAGGGGGAATCGACTACCTAAAGAGAGGATAGATGGAGGGGGAATCTACTCCCTAATGAGAGGATAGATGGAGGGGGAATCTACTACCTAAAGAGAGGATAGATGGAGGGGGAATCTACTCCCTGATGAGAGGTAGATGGAGGGGAAATCTACTCCCTGATGAGAGGATAGATGGAGGGGGAATCTACTCCCTGATGAGAGGTAGATGGAGGGGAAATCTACTCCCTGATGAGAGGATAGATGGAGGGAAATCTACTCCCTGATGAGAGGATAGATGGAGGGGGAATCTACTACCTGATGAGAGGATAGATGGAAGGAAATCTACTCCCTGATGAGAGGATAGATGGAGGGGGAAAATACTACCTGAAGAGAGGATAGATGGAGGGGGAATCTACTACCTGAAGAGAGGATAGATGAGGGGGAATCTACTACCTGAAGAGAGGATAGATGGAGGGGGAATCTACTACCTGATGAAAGGATAGATGGAGGGGGAATCTACTACCTGAACAGAGGATAGATGGAGGGGGAATCTACTACCTGATGAAAGGATAGATGGAGGGGGAATATACTACCTGACAAGAGGATAGATGGAGGGGGAAGCGACTACCTGAAGAGAGGATAGATGGAGGGGGATTATACTACCTGAAGTGAGGATAGATGGAGATGGAATCTACTACCTGAAGAGAAGAGAGATGGAGGGGAAATCTACTACCTGAAGTGAGGATAGATGGAGGGGGAATATACTACCTGAAGATAGGATAGATGGAGGGGGAATCTACTACCTGATGAGAGGATAGATGGAGGGGGAATCTACTATTGAAGAGAGGATAGATGGAGGGGGAATATACTACCTGATGAGAGGATAGATGGAGGGGTAACCTACTACCTGATGAGAGGATAGATGGAGGGGGAATCTACTATTGAAGAGAGGATAGGTGGAGGGGGAATATACTACCTGAAGAGAGGATAGATGGAGGGGGAATCTACTACCTGAAGAGAGGATAGATGGAGGGGGAATCTACTACCTGATGAGAGGATAGATGGAGGGGGGAATCTACTACCTGATGAGAGGATAGATGGAGGGGGAATCTACTATTGAAGAGAGGATAGATGGAGGGGGAATCTACTACCTGAAGAGAGGATAGATGGAGGGGGAATCTACTACCTGAAGAGAGGATAGATGGAGGGGGAACCTACTACCTGAAGAGAGGATAGATGGAGGGGGAATCTACTACCTGATGAGAGGATAGATGGAGGGAGAATCTACTATTGAAGAGAGGATAGATGGAGGGGCAATCTACTACCTGAATAGAGGATAGATGGAGGGGGGATCTACTACCTGATGAGAGGATAGATGGAGGGGGGAATCTACTACCTGATGAGAGGATAGATGGAGGGGGAATCTACTACCTGAAGAGAGGATAGATGGAGGGGGAATCTACTACCTGAAGAGAGGATAGATGGAGGGGGAATCTACTACCTGAAGAGAGGATAGATGGAGGGGGAATCTACTACCTGAAGAGAGGATAGATGGAGGGGGAATCTACTATTGAAGAGAGGATAGATGGAGGGGGAATCTACTACCTGAAGAGAGGATAGATGGAGGGGGAATCTACTACCTGAAGAGAGGATAGATGGAGGGGGAATCTACTACCTGATGAGAGGATAGATGGAGGGGGAATATACTACCTGAAGAGAGGATAGGTGGAGGGGGAATCTACTACCTGAAGAGAGGATAGATGGAGGGGGAACCTACTAGCAGAAGAGAGGATAGATGGAGGGGGAATATACTACCTGAAGAGAGGATAGATGGAGGGGGAATCTACTACCTGAAGAGAGGATAGATGAGGGGGAATCTACTTCCTGATGTGAGGATTGATGGAAGGGGAATCTACTAAATGATGAGAGGATAGATGGAGGGGGAATCTACTTCCTGAAGAGAGGATGGATGGAGATGGAATCTACTACCTGAAGAGAAGAGAGATGGAGGGGGAATCTACTACCTGAAGATAGGATAGATGGGGGGAAATATACTACAGAAGAGAGGATAGATGGAGGGGGAACTTACTACCTGAAGAGAGGATAGATGGAGGGGGAACCTACTACCTGATGAGAGGATATATGGAGGGCTGATGAGAGGATAGATGGAGGGGGAATCTACTACCTGAAGAGAAGATAGATGGAGGGGAATCTACTACCTGAAGAAGAATAGATGGAGGGGGAAATCTACTACCTGAAGAGAGGATAGATGGAGGGGGAATTACTACTGAAGAGAGGATAGATGGAGGGGGAACTACTACCTGATGAGATGGAGGGATAAGATGGAGGGGGAATCTACTCCTGAGAGAGGATAGATGGAGGGGGAATCTACTACCTAAAGAGAGATAGATGGAGGGGGAATCTCTACTGAGAAAGGATAGATGGAGGGGAATCTACTACCTGAAGAGAAGGATAGATGGAGGGGGAATCTAACTACCTGATGAAGGATAGATGGAGGGGGAATCTACTATCCTGAAGAGAGGATAGATGAGGAGGAATCTACTACCTGAGGGATGATGAGGAATATATGGAGGGCTGAGAGAGATAGATGGAGGGGGAATCTACTACCTGAAGAGAAGATAGATGGAGGGGAATCTACTACCTGATAGAAGATAGATGGAGGGGGAA